CAAATCCCCAAAGGATAGAACCCAATCAGGGAGGTGAAGTTTTTGCCTCAGGCAGTAGTGTAGAAGTCTCTAGCCAGGGTGTAGATTGGCTGCCTGTAGTGAAGAGGGTCACTGCTGTCCAATCAGCAGCAGCCAGGGGTGGGATCATGTGACTAAAAGGAGGAAGCCACTCAGCCTTTGACTGGAGCAAAACACTTGACAGGGCCAATAAACAGCATCCTTTAGAGTACTCATCCATCCTTCAAGTGTGGTCCCTGGACCAACAGCATCCTGGGAACTTGTTAGAAATGCCAATTCTTGGGCCCCACCCCAGACTCTTGAATCAGAAACACAGGAGGAGGAGCCCAAGCCTCTGCATTTTAACCACCCTCCTGGAGATTCTGGTGCATATCCCAGTTGGAGAACTACTGCCTTAGACTAAGTAAATAGTAGATTGACTAAAAACAAATGTCTGAATGAAATAATGAGAGTTGGGAATTCCAGGTTCAGTGTGTTTTAAACATAGTGGAAGTGTGGATGTTAGTTGATCCTAGGGAGGAGGGGAGGGTGACATTTGTTATAAATCCCTGTTTTATGGACACTGAATTTTCTTTCGTTGGATAATCTGCATTCTCAGGTTGTATTGCCTGCCCCAAAAGGTGAGCTATGGTAAGTACTGTCACCACACCTGCTCACTTTCCAGACCCCACTCCGTCCCTGCCCCTGAGAATGCACTTCCTCATGGAGACTAGCCTAGTGCTAGAGTCCCTCCACAAACTTTGACACATCTTGCTTCATAAATGATTATATTTCTGGTTAGGGTTTGTCTTCCTCCAAAAAGTTAGTTAACTACTTACTCTGAGTCTTGTGATTCTCAGATTTTTTTTTTTTTTTTTTTTGAGACAGAGTCTCACTACGTCACCAGTAGAGTGCTGTGGCATCACAGCTCATAGCAACCTCAAATTCTTGGGCTTAAGTGATTCTCTTGCCTCAGCCTCTGAAGTAGCTGGGACTACAGGTGCCCACCACAATGCCCAGCTACTTTTTGGTTGTAGTTGTCATTTTTGTTTGGCAGGCCCAGCTGGGTTCCAACCTGCCAGCTCCAGTCTATGTGGCTGGTTCCCAAGCTGCTGAGCTATAGGCATGGAGCTAAGAATTTTTACATCTTTCCTATTTATTACCAGTCGGGGGGAGAAGTTCGGTTAGTTAGGTGAATTACAGTAACATAAAGCCATGGTTACATGGATTACGGTAACATAAAACAAGAGAGAAGTTGAGAAAGAGAGTAAAAGGAGAAACCCTCTGGACCTGCGGTCAGTGTAACCCGATTCTTGACACGCTCCATGAGTCCCAAACAATAAAAAAAAATAATAATAACGAGAAACCCTCTTTGTCTTTCCAAGGAATATTAACATGTTAAAACCCCATTTAGGCCTAGGATTAGGGCAAAGTTAGCTGGGCACAAAATGCTCAGTAATGAAGAAATACATTGCAATGTAGTATTTTAAAAAAAATCAAAGTAATGCAAAAAAACTATGATAAAGTGTGCAAATTTGAACTAATGGCAGGACTCAGTTCCACTGTAGCCTGTTCACATTGGTGGACAGAAGGCATCCACCAAAGCCTACAAGGGGGAGGAAGACCCCAGAGCAATGCGGTGAATGGACACATTACCCACTTGGTTTGGAGAAAGATAAGCATTCACGGTTTCCCACTCTTGACTGGTGAAAAACTATACTGGAATTAGAAAAAAGATGCTATATTCTTAACATAAATGATTAAAGTCTCTATTACTTATTTCTTTATTCATAAAGAGTCATTGGAGCTTCCAGTATAGTCTCATAACCCATATAACTGGGAAGCCCTCTTCTCCCCACTGTCCACCTGTTTGGGGTTGGTCAGAGTGCTGATCAGTCCTATCTCACCCCTCACCTGATGCAGGCCTTATCTTGTCTAGTTAGATGACTCTCCCACAGTTTCTCCTCTGTCCCCTCAACTTGTTTTGTCTTCTGTATCTGTCCCTTTCACTCACAAGTCTTATATGTAGAATTATATGATGGAAAGACCAGGAGAGGAGGCAAGCCTGTGTTCTTATCCGAGCTTAGCCGCTAAGCAGATATGCGGCCTGGGTCAGTCATTCTCCCTCTGGGCTTCGATGTCCTTGTCTGCATATGAAGGGATCAAACTAAAGCATCCTACTTTCTTCTCTGCTTTTCAGGAACTCTGTGCTTGCTGTAGACGAAAGCCTATATACTTGTGCCTTTTTGCCTCTGAGAGTGAGCAGGAATAACAACATCTTCCAGTTCAAATTCAAGAAAAGTGTGACATTAAAAATCCAGCACTGCTCACCCTCCCCATGCCAGTTAAAAATCCAGCGCTGCTGACCCTCCCCTTTCCAGGATGCCCTCTGTGAATGTCCACGAAAGTCTCTGCATGTTTCATCATCTTTCCATCAAACTGATACATCATTCTCTTATTCCACAAATATTTACTGAATGTCTCCTAAGCAGGAAGCACTTTTCTCAACCCTGAATAGGACAAAGTTCCTGCCCTCATAGTGAGGCCATTCAGCCTAGCACATATATAGAGGCCTGAGCCACATAACGGTGTCAGCAGCAGGACCACACCTCTGATGGCAGTCCTGTAAGATTATAATGGAGCATATCTAGAAACCTGATATGGCTCGGCGCCTATAGCTCAACCGGCTAAGGCGTCAGCCACGTACACCTAAGGTGGCGGGTTCGAACCCAGCCCGGACCCGCCAAACAACAATGCCGGCTGCAACCAGAAAATAGCCGGGCGTTGTGGCGGGCGCCTGTGGTCCCAGCTACTTGGGAGGCGGAGGCAGGAGACTCGCTTGAGCCCAGGAGTTGGAGATTGCTGTGAGCTGTAATGCCACGGCACTCTACCCAGGGGGACAGCTTGAGGCTCTGTCTCAAAAAAAAAAAAAAAAAAACCTGATATATAGCACCTGATATTGACATTGTAAGTCAAATATTGCTCAGTAATAATGCTGGGATGTTTGGTTTTCCATGTGAAGAAATACATACTAGTAAAAATATTTTGGCTGGCTGCTGGGCTGGAGCTCACATCGGTAATCCCAGCACTTGGAGAGGCCAGTGTGAGAGGATCACTTGAGGCCAGGAGTTTGAGACCAGCCAGGACAACAAAGAGAGACCCTGTCTTTAAAACAAATAAGAAAAATTAGCCACGTGTGGTGTCACATGGCCTATAGTCCTAGGTACTTGGGAAGCTGATGTGAGAGGATCACTTGAGTCCAGGAGTTCAGAGCTATAGTGAGCTGTGATCACAGCCACTGTATTCTAGCCCGGGTAAGACCGTGTCCCACTCCCTCCCCCCAAATACACCTATGTCATCTAGGTTTCTGTGAGTACACTCTACGATGCTCATGCAAATTGCCTAACGACACATTTCTCAGGAAGTGTCCTCTTCATTAAGCGAGACGTGACTGTGTTCATACATTCAAGGAAGAAAAAGCACATTATTATCCATAAAAACAGGAGCTTCACTTGAAGCACTATAAACATGAATTCAGTAAAAACATGCAGTGACATTACCTTCTAGCTAAGTAACTTTTGAATGAGACATAAGCTGTCTTGGCTAACGTGTATAAAAGACTGGCAGCAAGCAGAATGTCTCCTTCATGAAATCAGCAGGATTGAAGAAGAATGGGAAATAGCCTGACTTTCTCACTGTTTCCTAATAATACCACGTCCATCTAGAATCACAGTGACTGGTGTGTGCTCCACACTTTGGGAAACAATGCCTTCATCCTATGAGTCACTAAGCAAGAAGTGATTCTTCACCTATGAGTCACTAAGCAAGAAGTGATTCTTATTTGTGTCCATCACCTTTCCAAGAATCTATTCCTTAGGCCTCGAAAGTCCCGATTCCCCCCACCCTGCCCCCAGTGACAACTGAGGTGCCTCAGAGGCCACAGTGTTGTGTGATCGGGAGAAATGATTTGTTATTTCTGCAGCATTCATTGATGGATTGGCTGGTCGTCTCTGAAACATCAGGATTGGAGTTCTTTTATTCTCTTTTATTGATACATTATAATTTACATATTTATGGGATACATGTGCTGGCTACATGCATAAAAGTGAAATGATCAAGTCAGGGTATCCATCATTTGAGCATTGATTGGTATTATTTCGTGTCCTCCCTTCTAGTTAACTTTCAAGTATATATAATATCATTGCTGAAGGTGGTCCCCTGGTCTGCTGTCAAACATAAGAACTATTTCTTCTATCTAGTTGTATGTTGATATATTCTTTGACTCCTGGTCTTTTTTTTTTTGAGACAGAGCCTCAAGCTATCCCCCTGGGTAGAGTGCCATGGCATCACACTCACAGCAACCTCCAACTCCTCGGCTCAAGCGAGTCTCCTGCCTCGGCCTCCCAAGTAGCTGGGACCACAGGCGCCCACCACAACGCCCGGCCATTTTTTAGTTGCTGCCATCATTGTTGTTTGGCGGGCCCGGGCTGGGGATTTGAACCCGCCACCTTAGGTGTATGTGGCTGGCGCATTAGCTGCTTGAGCCACAGGCGCCGAGCCGACTCCTGGTCTTAAGACAGAGAATGAGCTTTTATCCTCAAGTTGCATGTGTATGTCTGTGTGGGGTGCAACTGGGGACAAGTATAGCAGGGGAAGACTGGGGGTTTTCTGAACTTCCTATTATCACAGTGCTTTCTTCATAAAATGTTTTCATGTTCTGGTAGTTGGGCTGCACACTCTCCTATGTGAGATAAATTTCCTTTGGAGCTAGCTAAGACCTTGGAGATCATCTTCTTCCCTTACTCCTCTACACTGTCCATTCCAATCTCCTTTGAGAAGGAGGAAGCAGAGGTTGAGAGAGGGCAGGTGTCCTGCCCACAAGGACTGTGTCTGTAAGCAGCAAATTAGAATTTGAACCCCCATGCAGGCAATAGAAACCCATCACAAGGCCCCACCTTGTCTCCTAATTGCCTTGCTCACAGTTTTTCTTTCTCCCTTTCCAGGCAGTCCTGAGCCCTCTCATAGCCATTGCACTGAAAATATCCCAGATTCATGAGAGAACTGGCCGCAGGGGACCTACTGTCATCACCTGAAGGGAAGAAAGATCCCTCACCAGGGCCAAAGAGAGCGCTCGGCGGGAGATGCTTCACCAATGCCTTCTTGCTACCTGTTTGTGCCTCTTATGACTTTGGATAAAACAAAAGATTTTTGCTTTGGGGGGAAGGGGGGGTGGGTAGGAAAAAAAATCCGTTTTGTTTTGATTTTGACCAGTTCCTCCAAATGCAACAGGGTCTTTAGTGGTCTGTTAAAGCTGCACTATCACTTGCTAACTATAGTTCATCGCACAAAGGACCTTCCCCTTTTGAGAAAGAATAAGTGGGCTAGGACACTGTTAATCTGTGGATCATTGGTGCCATGGAAGAATAGGTTCTGAGATAATGAAAGAGAGTACAGTGAGAGATTGAAACTGACCTTGAGGCCTAGGTACCCCTGGACAGGCAGAAGATGACACTCCTCAGCACAGAGGAGGATTCAGCTCTTCTCCTAGGGCAGGTCTGCAATGAAGGAAGGTTTTAGAACTAATAGCCCACCTGGCTCCCACCAACCATTTGACAGCCCAACCTTCCCCATCTCCTCCCAGCATTCCTGTGCCACCTTCTCTCATGTCTTCTAAAGCTTTCTACAGATCACAATGGCACACTTCCAACAGAACATATCAAAGGATGTTTTTCTCTCTTATTTTATAAATAATAACGATTTTTAGCTATTAAACCAGCTGCCTTCCTTCACTTCCAGCCATTCATTGTGCAGGTGGGGAGAAGTTTCTTGATAAGACTCTGCAAATGAATGCTTAAAATTGGGGAGGGGCTCCTTCCTTGATGGCATCATGTAAGTTGAGACATGGGTTTATACAAATGCTCCCGAGAGGACAGAAATACCACTAGGTCTGAGAACTCTCTGCCTTTTTCAGTAAGGACCTATTTGAATGCACTCGTTTGGCCATGGTTCTGATCTTACTTATAGTGACTGTCCAAGGAGAGAATGAAACACTGTGAAAGAAGGAAATGAAGTGGTTGCCGGAAGAGAATATTACTGGTGGTCTATGCCTGATGAGATGGAGGGGAGGGCAGGGACCCCTGCTGGAAGGTAGAGGGGCACAAATGACTTTCTTTGCTTGGGAAAGGGATATTGCAGCTCTAGCAGCCTCGTTCCTACCCAGCCAGGACACTGGGTGCGTGGGACCTGTTTGCATCTGTTTTGCTTCCTTGGGAACGGCACACTCACTTATCCTGCCATTTGTGGAGATGACCTGGTGCACTTTGACTGTTAAGCAATGCATTATTGCTGTAGTCAAGGCTAGTGCAAGCAAGGAAACATTCCCAGGAAGGTATTTGTTTCCATTTTCTGTCTAAGCTTCTGTCACAAACTTGCTATGACATTTAGTAGCCAATAAAAAAAAAAATTCCTTATTTCAACCTTATCCAAGGATTGTGGAGTTCTGTTCATTTTTTTGTCTATCCTTTTGAGAAACGTCAGTGGGGATCACCTATACTGATAAATCTGCCTTTCAGAATACTCTCAAGGGCTATTTTTCACTGTTATAACCTGGGAAATGGTATTAAATAAATGAAACAAAGAAGGTGAATTACTGAGAACTGCCTTTGGGAGTCAGCAGACACTGAACTGGCATCTTTCATTGTAACTGTCTTTATTTCAGAGTAATAGGAAAGTGGCTTTGAGCTGAGATTCTAAAGCACCAGTTATGAAATTTATCCCAGTGGAATAAAATTTGCCTTAGAGCTTTGGTTCTCATCTCTTAAGTGGGGGTCCATGACAAACCAGCCCTCCATTCATTAATCATGGATGTGTTGGTCAGGATAATCAGATGGATTCTTAAGCATATTAGTTCTAGGTAAGAAAATACAGTAGAACCTCTGTAAGGTGACCACACAGGGATTGTAACAAACTGCTCAACATAATGGAGGTGATCAACCTAAGGAACTTCTATTGATTACATGTGGTGCATGTCCGGTCTATGAAAATTAGGTCAACTTAAGGAGATGGTCAAGGTAGGGAGGTTTCACTGTATTTATTTTTTTTCTAAAGTTGCAGAACTTTTAATCTTCTTTCACTTTTAAGTTCAAATGTAAATTAGCCCTCACTTAAAAATTCTGTTTATTTTGATACAGTCAGGTGTGCTCAATAGCCCAATCTATATTTACCCATTCATCCATCGATTCATTCATTCACTCATTCAGCAAACATCATTTGAGAGCAACTCATCTGGCAGAGTTCTGTATTCGATGTGACAGGGAAGTGGATAAAATGTTATTCCTGCTCTTAGGAGTTTATACATCAGGAATAGGAGGCTCCGACAAATATACACAAATATTCAGGCAGACGCAAATGTCACAGCGCAAGCATAGACAATGGGCTGTGGGAATATACAGAGAGGAGCGATTAACTTAGAGATGGTGGAATGCTAGATACTAAGTGGGTCTTCCCAAGAGCTGAATTTCTTGAGATTTGTAACCACTGATACAGTTTCACCAGGGGCAAATGAAACAAGAAAGACTCAGAGTCAGGAGCTGGGATGGCTGGAGAGGAGGCTTGCCTGGGTCTCGTGTGACTGGGGGAGTTGAAGCAGATGCAGGGCTGTCTGCAGAACAAAGGCTTGGGCCCAACCACAGAAAGAATTAGGTGCACGCTCCCTGTATTCACAGAGCTTTTTCTCAGCTATGTTGCCAAGGGAAGGTCCTTCAGCAGCTTTAGTGCACAGCCTGTCTCTGCCCCAGTTCCCATTGTCTAGGTATTATTTGTGCCTTACGTAACCTCCAAGCTCATCCTGCTGAACCGTACACGTATGTTCTCCTGTCTAATTCTCAGCACAGGTGAAAGGCAAGAAGTCACTCTTTCCCACATCGTGTTCTTTTATGTTCTTAAAGATGGTGCTCTAGTCGCTAGTTTTTAAGAGTCAGTGATTTGAGGGGTCCGAGAAATTTGTGGGACCCACAGCGTCAGTCCTGGAGGAAACTATGGCTGGAGTGTGGGGGTTGTCGGGGCCACTCTGGGGACCTACTGTTAGTGACAGTTTCCCTTACTACACCATGTGCCTCCAGAGAAATGGTAAGCAACACTGTCTCTACATAACGTAGTGCCACTTACCCAGGGTGTGTTTGGAAACGTCTGTGTATATGTGCCAGGGAGTCATTTAGTGGGAGAGGGCCAAGGATGATAGTACATGTTTCGCCAGGTGTCAGCCAGTGCCCCAAAATAAAAAGTGATTTCGTCCCAGTCAGGACTCTTGAATTTAGTGTCCTTGAACATGGGTGGAACCATTATTAAAATGAGGTCATTTTAATAATCATTTAATCAATCAATAATCAATAATCATTTATTGAAGCTTCCTAATGCGAGTGCAGCACATAGCCCCAGGGTTGGTGGGACAAAGTGTTGCTATGGAATGGCGTTATAGGCCGACGGGCTTGACAGGAAACAGGAAGCTTCAGGTGGATGGGCCCTCTCATGGTGGCACATTGGGCTGTCGGCTGCTCCAAGCCAGGACAGGAGTAATGGTATGGGGACTCTGGTTGGCCACTATGGGTCAGCGTAAGGCATAGGGATTTACTTCGCCATGGCAGGTGTGAGGAAGTTACAAGGCGCCTGTAGGAGCCAGGAATGGCGTAACAAGGTGGCTGCATTCTGGGGGGATTATGCACTGGATGTTCTTAAAGCACAGGGACGTGGACATCTCAGACATCTGCCTTGGGGAGATTTCCATTCCTGGGTATAGAAGAGTCTGAGAAACCGTGTGCTTTTGGAAGTGATGTAACCACCAGTAAATCAGCCTTTGGCCCTTCAACAGTTACTACCAGCGAGAGATTATCTGAGGCAGCAGAGCTTAGCAGAATGCCTGTTCCTCTCCAGCCTGCTGGAGTCCTCAGGAGAAAGAGCTCATGCAGTTGACAGCACCCTTGGTATGTGAGTCAGTTGGGTTGTCGTGGGACTTTATGGAACACAGCGAAGACCTCAATTATTAATCCCTGTCATGATCATCTTTTAGCACATAGTAAGTACCCTGCAATGTAGGTGAGCTGGGGCAATGTCTCATCAAAGACAACACATGTAAGTGGAATCTTGAAGGATGGATGGAAGTGTCAGTAAAAGCACTGGTGAGTTTTGTTGTTTTTTTTTTTTCCCCTTAGAACTCTTTTGATATGAGGACAATTAATGACACGGTGGCGAGGGGTGGGGAAAGGGGAGAGCAGAGAGAGAGGGGAGGAGGGAGGGGAGTGGGGGAAAGGAAGGGCAGAGAGAGGGAAGGAGGGTCTCAGTGTGTGACACATCTTGTACCCTCCATGAATCCCCAATAATTTAAAAAAAAAAACAAAACACTGGTGAGTTTTTAATGGAGGGGTTGCAAATGAACCCAATACAACACATATTCAGAAGATGCAGCATTATTTATTCAATAATTGACCTTGTCATCCTCATCTCCTGGGATGGTGGCAGTGTGTATTTACGTTTGCTGCTCAAAGGGACATTATGAAATGACAGTACTAAAAGGCCCTCGACCCTGAGAACTCCCTCCCCCATTGTATGTGAAACTACTATTCACCTCTGAGAGGAGGAAGTGAGTGGAGTCTCTGTTTTGAGAGGGTACTTTCCTCTTCCCACGCTCTCCTATTCTAGGTATCCTCCCCAACATTTATGGAATTGTGGTTGCCAATTCATCACCGTTACTTTATCATAAGAGAAGGAAGAGGAGGTACAAAGTGAACCCTTCAGAGATGACTAATGTATTATTATCAACCCAGAGAACATACGTGGACTTGTACGGTGAATTTCACTGCTGAACATCTCAAAGGGAAGATTTGCTTTGGGTTACGCCCATGTTCCTGAGGCTTGATGTTGAGTAAATATGTTAAAAATAGTCAGTGCCTATTAGTATTTTTTTTTTTCAAAAAGACTCTCCCAGGTTATTATCTGAACCAACAGCTGGTGTCCAATAATGTTTGGGTTTGCAGAAAGATTATCTTATTCATATCTTACACTGTGTTGGTTTCACATGATGAATATTTTAACTTAAAGGTTTCTGTTGATTTTTTTTTCTGATACCAAAAAAAAATGGGAAAAGAGAACATTTAAGTAAAAAATGTATTACAGCAGATTAAAACCATTTTTTATAGAAACCAAAATTAACATTTGTTTTACCTGATACCAGTAGTTGGAAAAACTACCTTTCACTAATGCAAAATCTGGAAGAAAGCCCAGTGATATTGCTGTGTAGGTCGGTGAATGTACTCAGACCACCAGGCAAAATTTCAGGATAACTGTCTTAGGAAAGGGACAGAAAGAAATGGCACAGGGATAAATCCGGCATTAGGAATGAATGACCAACTTCTTATTGGGCAACCTTGAATGATCTTCATCTGTAGTGACCTCCTTGATGTCAAGGATTCAAATCACAGATTCTCAAATTCATGCTTCATGGACCAGGATTTCCTTTTATGTGGCTTTTTGTGTATTTGTCAGGATATGGTTAATCTACCCACTCAGCAGTGTGGGGAAGATGTGGCCAACACAGAGACCCCATCCCATCTTGTTTGCTCTCTTTCTCCATGAAGGAGTCACATCCGTCCCTCTAACTGTCCCAAGCCCTTCCTGTGCTCATTTGTCAAGGGCTGTCATCCATTAGGAATCATACTTATTATCCATATAGTGATCAGTTTAAGGGAAACTCCACTGTGAGGCAAGGGCCCAGCTCCTAGCTGAAAACATGAAGGGCTTATTTATATTTTAAACAACCCTAAAGCAACCACCTCTGCTGCTCCAAGGGTTTTAAGATATTACAGCAATCCCTGGGACTCCACTTTCCGTTAGAGCCCATTCTCTGAAAAGGAAGAGAAATCCAAATCGCTCCCTGGAAGGAGGGAAGTGGGACAGAGCTAGCTTAGCACAAAAGGACAAGTAAGTAGATCCTCCTATTTCATTCTAGGGAACTTCTTCACTCTCCTGGAAGGCACTGCATGTTATTTTATTGGACAAGTAACTTCTCAAAGTCTCAGTTTTATACATCTGTAAAGTGGGAATAATCATAGCTCCTACCTCCTAACAATTGAATATGAATGAGAGCTAAATCACATGCATGAAAAGTCTATAGCACAAAACTTGCCCTATAAAAGGCATTCCATAACTGCCAGGTTTTAGCCCAGCATAAATGCCTCACCTGAAGCAGGAGGAAATGATACCCAGGGACAGACTCTCGTTCAAGTTCAGAAGCATTTGGCTGCATCTCTTTCCACAACCTTGCCACCTGACTTGTCTTCTTGTATTAGAAATACAGTAAAATTTTTAAGGAGGAAGCATTAGGTTATAAAATAAATGTCCCAAGTCTAAAAGTCAAGATCTATATCTTAAGATGTAAAGAATTTCCTGTTAATGAGGAAAGTACATCTTGAGAGTCTCTTGTCTTGCAAATTCTAGAGATTTACAGGGAGATCATTTGAATTATATACAAATATTTTAAAAATTTCACAAGATTTACATTAGACCATTTATGGCTAGTACAAATTCTTGCCCCCTCTGAATTCTGTGTATTATGAATTCTGTGTTCTATTCAATTAGCATCTATGAGAAATCTTATCGTGTCTGATTGTATGAGGACCTTTTTAAAAAATAGCTTATTAACATTTTGCATTTGAACCATTTTGAAAGTGAACATTATAATCATTTTTGCCTTCACATAGAAAAAAATAGATACATAATTAAAATAAGGTGATACAAAATAACATTCATGAGCTCCAAGGCCAAGTTTTCCAGGACGTCACTCTGGTACTATGGCCAGTAGAGGTTACTATAAAACCAGCTAATGAAATGCTGAGCAACCTACGTATTAAACACCGAACTGTCTCGTGATTTTTAGGTAAGGAAGTACGCGAAGGCACGTGGCTGTCCTGGCAATCTGTTCCTCCCTGTCCGGGGTGGTGGGAGGGGAACTGAGCGAGAGCAGAAGGCCCTCTGTGAGCAGAGCTCTCACGCCAAAACCTTTGTAGTCCCGATGCTTGCCTGGGCTGGGATCAGAGGGAATCTGCGGAGATGTCTGCTTGGTGGTGAAAGGGCCCACACTGCCCTTTCATGGCAGAGCTCATGTAGAATTGCATGGCTGTCCACATAGCAGCAGCCCCTGGTGAGCTCCCCTGCAGGGTCCCTGATGTGGCTTTGGCTCCCACAGTCCCTTGCCTGCCTTTGTGATTGATTAGCAGGTGATTCTGATAGGGTGCACCCCGAGAGCCGGAGAGCTTTCCAGCCTTCCTCAGCTTTGCCGCTCAGCATCCTCCAAGGTCGCTGCAGCCGCCAGGTTGGCTGCAGGCGCTGCCCTCCGCATAGGACGGAGGGGCTTCTGGGTGGGCGTCATTTTCATCCTGGAATTCCAGGCGCGTCTCTGTATAGAGAGGCGGAGGAATGCCGCAGGCCTCTCCCTCCACAGGACACGTCTGTTTCTCCGCACCAAGGCTCTCTGCATACGCTGGAGGGTAAAAGTCTGGCCTGGCGGACAGAACAGCCCAAACACGCATGAGTTACTTAGACAGTAGTGCCAGAGAGGCATATGGCTGCCTCTCTCCACTCGCATTGTGAGAAGTTAAACTGTTAAGAAACACTGATTTTTGAAACAGATGTACTTCTCCACTGCCATCACCAGTTTTTTAAAAAATGTACTGATCTTCCAGAAGAACCTCTCTATGGACGAGAAGGCTGTGCCTCTAGTCCTGTTTTTTCCAACAGGTTATTCCCAGCTATTCCTTCTCTCTTCCTCTTTCATTCATGGAAATAGAGCCACGCGGTGTGAGGTTCTCACCAGAGATGGGGGCGTCTCTCTACCCAGTACTTAGTCCACTCATCCTGGTTCCCACCCTCCACGGTATTTTCTACTCAATTGCACTCACTGTCTCAGATCTTGACGGCCAAGAAAATAATGAATGAAAACCAACTATGTGCAGATTCCTGAACTATACCAGATGTTTCTCTCTTTCCTAACACTCCTTCACATCTCAGCAGCTAGTTTCGATACAAACATACTCACTCTCCAACTATTTCAACTGACTCTATGCAGATTTCAGCTGTAGCTCTTTCAGTGCCATTAATAGGTTAATGGTAAAGGAGCCGTCCAGGCCAAGGGCCGATGTGCTGATTGGTAACCTTGCCCAATGTTGCTAATTGCTAAAACCCTTCTGGCTTCCCCATCATGAATGGGACTGGGGCTGGGTTGGAGGGGATGAAGAGAGGTGGGTGAGCTCAGCTGAGTTGTGTATTTATAGAGCGAGTCCTGCAGTGCCTGCAGGGAGTGTTTATGGCGGGTAACCACAACAGAACAGGGACTGCCTTTTGTGGCCACAACTCCACTCCAAATATTGCCAGGCCCAAAGCCAAAGAGCTGAAGGAGCTATCTACTGTACATCATAAATCTCAGCCCTCACTCAGAATAGCCAAGGCTGCGTCACCAGGCACATGTGGAAAGGCGTTTTACACAGCTAGGTGAGCTGTTCCTCGGAGTGATTTGAGAGGCTCTAGGATGACTGCCACCTGTCCCCAAATCTCAAGTACTTCTCTCAGTCCCATCGTCTTCTCACTGCCAGGTACATTCCTGATGCCCTGAATTCCTCCACCACAGACCCATTTGCTTCGATACCTCAACCTGGGAACCTATTTTGAGTGCAAGGCCTCCTCAGAAATATAACTTCCCCGGCTGAATAATTAATTAGATCCCTGAAGAAGAGGTAGTAAAATGGGGCTATCATGATGTCCATCATTTACTTTCCAATATTTCAGCACAGACAAGATAACATATTATGCATGTATTAGTAAATTTCAGCCACCTCCTAAGGGCAATCAGTACTTTATCAGGAATCCAAACTCTAGAGGTAGTCATCTAACAACTAGGCAAAAACCAAAAATCATTACTCTAGAAAAAGCTTCTACAGTGATTTCCTTTCTCTTAATTTCTAATCAAACCCAGAAACCTTGCTGGTCAATATCATAAACATTGGAAATGAGCTTTGGTTGTTGTCATTAGTATCTTATTCATCAGCATACAACGGTCAAAAATGAAATGTGGTAACATTGCTTTTACATGGAGTACAAGATACATGAAGTAGCTGAAATGGGTTAGATACTCCCTACCCTTGCATGAGGAGGGCACAAGGACCTAAGAATGTTACCCGAGGCTTTATCCCTAAATAGTCCTGCGTTCAGCCAAGAATTAGGAGGTTTCTGTTTGCCTGATATAGACCCTAAGTTAACTGAATCTTTTTTTTTTCCTTGTGGTAAAATATATATAACACAAAATTTGCTGTTCTTAAGGAGTCGCAGGAAGTATATTCATATTGTTGTGTGAACATCGTCAGAACTGTTCCACCATCCCAAACTGAAATTCTCTATTCATTAAATAATAACTCCCCATTCTCCCCTCCCCTAACCCCTGGTGACCACTGTTCTACTTTCTGTCTCCATGAGTGGAACTACTCTGGGTACTCCACAGAAGTGGAGTTACACAACACTTTCCCTTTGTGACTGGCTTATTTCACTCAGCGTGATGTTTTCAAGGTTCATCCAAGTTGTAGCTTGTGTCAGGATTTTATCCCTTTTAAAGGCTGACTGATACTCTATATAAACACCACGTTTGTTTATTCATGTATCCATCGATGGACATTTGAGTCTTTTCTGCCTTTTGGCTATTAGGAGTAACAGACATTGGTGAACAAGCATCTATTTGAGTCCTTGAATTCAATTCTTTGGTGTGTAGACTCAGAATTAGCTATAGAATGTACAATTGCCGGATCAAATGGTAATTCTGTATTCAATGTTTAGATGAACCTCATTCTTTCTCCACCCTGGTTGCACCCTTTACATTCCCACCAGCTAGGCACAAGGGTTCCAATTTCTCGACATCCTCACCAATGCTTGTTGTCTTGTTTTTGGACAATCATTTCCCTAATGCATGAGGTGGTAAGGTTAACTCAATCTCTTACCTTTAGAATATCGTCACCCTGCCTTGAACAAAACTTTTCTACAAGGTGCGATCAAGACATCTAAAAAGAGACTGAGCTCGGAGCTCCCTGAGCTCACCAAGGTGACAGGTCTGATTTTCTGCCTTCTTGCTTGTTTGTTGTATAGCAGAATTTGGTCTGGGTCTTGCTTTCCTTAAAACCTGGGAGCCAAGCTCGGCGCCTGTGGCTCGAGCAGCTAAGGCGCCAGCCACATACACCTAAGGTGGTGGGTTCGAATCCAGCCTGGGCCCGCCAAACAAC